TCAATCCACATCATCAACCAGCAGGTACCTCGTCATCATCGTCGTCGTCGTCATGATCGTCGTCGTCATCGTCATCATCATCGTCATCAACTACCACATCATCAACCAGCAGGTACCTCGTCGTCATCGTCGTCATCATCATCGTCGTCATCGTCGTCGTCGTCGTCATCGTCGTCATCAACTACCACATCATCAACCAGCAGGTACCTCGTCATCATCGTCGTCATCATCGTCATCAACTACCACATCATCAACCAGCAGGTACCTCGTCGTCATCGTCATCGTCGTCGTCGTCGTCGTCATCATCAACCAGCAGTTATATCGTCATCATCATCCACCCTCTCGTGCGCCATACCGGCCTTAAAACTCCGCCTTGTAAACTATAAAACTAGTTTTTTTATTTTACCGGTTAAGGCCGCACTAAGCTGTGTAGCTCTTTCACAGCAGCGACCTGAGTGGCTTTCATCATCCTCACGTGGACATTCATAGCAGCCAAATACCCTGAACGCACGTTCGTTAAAGACTTAACAGGTGCGTGCTGAACCACACCTGCCCCAACGTTCTCTTCAGGCTATTGGGGGACCTTTGCCTCTATCTGCGTGCGTGTACCTGTCTGTTGTGTGTGTGTGCGTGTGCGCGTGTGTGTACGTGTCTGTTGTGTGTGTGTGCGTGCGTGTGCGCGTGTGTGTACGTGTCTGTTGTGTGTGTGTGCGTGCGTGTGCGCGTGTGTGTACGTGTCTGTTGTGTGTGTGTGTGTGCGTGTGCGCGTGTGTGTACGTGTCTGTTGTGTGTGTGTGTGTGCGTGTGCGCGTGTGTGTACGTGTCTGTTGTGTGTGTGTGCGTGCGTGTGCGCGTGTGTGTACGTGTCTGTTGTGTGTGTGTGCGTGCGTGTGCGCGTGTGTGTACGTCTGTTGTGTGTGTGTGTGTGCGTGTGCGCGTGTGTGTACGTGTCTGTTGTGTGTGTGTGCGTGCGTGTGCGCGTGTGTGTACGTGTGCGCATGTCTGTATGTGTGCGGATGCGTGTGTGTGTACGTGTCTGTTGTGTGTGTACGTGTGCGCGTGTGTGTACGTGTGCACGTGTCTGTATGTGTGCGGATGCGTGTGTGTCAGTGTGTGTGTGTTCATAGGTCCTCGCTAACAACACTTGCCCCTACAGTCTGTTAAAGCTATACGGGGGATCTTTGTTTTTGTGTGTGTGCGGTAGTGTAGCGGTTAGCGCGCTGCGCTACGAACTTAGCCACCCGGGTTCGATTCCCGCTCACGGCCAACACCAGTGATGATTATCTGAACCGGTTTTGGGCCTCCCTTAGGTCGACTCGGCCTCAAATGAGTACCTGGTGCGGTGTGTAAACATCACCACTGGGGAGACAAAGGCGGCCGGGCGTGGTGCTGGCCACCCGCCCCCTCGTGTGCCGTTCTGGCCTTCATAGGTGCTCGCTAACAGCACTTGCCCTTACAGTCTGTTAAGGCTACACGGGGATCTTTGTCTTTGTCTGTGTGTGCAGGGCGAGGCGATGACGAACGCCCCGGATCTCCGGCCGAACGCGGTGACCTGGGGAATCTTCCCCGGCAGGGAAATCATCCAGCCCACCGTGGTCGACCCCGTCAGCTTCACGTACTGGAAGGTGCGTGTGTGTGTGTGTACGTGCGTGCGTGTGTGTGTGTGTGTACGTGTGTGTGTACGTGCGTGTGTGTGTACGTGCATGTGTGTGTGCGTGCGCGTGTGTGTGTGTGCGTGTGTGGGTGTGTGCGTGTGTGTGTGTGCGCACGTGTGTGTGTGTGCGCGCGTGCGTGTGTGTGTGTGCGTGTGTGTGTGCGTGTGTGTGCGTGTGTGTGTGCACACGTGCGTGTGTGTGCGTGTGTGTGTACGTCTATGTGTGCACACGTGTGTGTGCACGTGTGTGTGTGTGAGCACGTGTGTGTGTATGGGGGGGAGCGGTAGTGTAGCGGTTAGCGCTACGCTGCACTATGAACCCGGCGACCCGAGTTCGATTCCCGCTCACGGCCAACACCAGTGACGATTATTTGAACCGGTCCTGGGCCTCCCCTAGGTCGACTCAGCCTCAAGGCGGTCGGGCATGGCGCTGGCCACCCACCCCCTCGTGTACCGTTGCGGCCTTCATAGGTCCTCGCTAACAGCACTTGCCCCTACAGTCTGTTAAGGCTATATGGGGGATCTTTGTCTGTGTGTATGGGGGGGGGGAGCGGTAGTGTAGCTGTTAGCGCTACGCTGCGCTATGAACCCGGCGACCCAAGTTCGATTCCCACTAACGGCCAACACCAGTGACGATTATTTGAACCGGTCCTGGGCCTCCCCTAGGTCGACTCAGCCTCAAATTATTACCTGTGGCGGTGTGTAAGCATCGCCACTAGGAGGCGACACAGGGGGTCTTTGTCATGTACGCACGGCCATGATGATACTGAACATATGCCAACCGGATCTGCTTTCCAGTACTTTGGCAAACTGTTGCCTTTGTGAAGGAAATGCCCAAGTGCAAATGCAAAAGGGTACAAACAATAATCCCTCGGTATGAATAACATTTAATATATCTATTCGTTTTACACCCAAAAGGTACTCACCCCCCCCTGTTTGTGTGCGTCTGAGTGTGCTCGCGAACAGCACTTGCCCCACCAGTTTGTCGAGGCTACACGGGGGACCTGCGTCTTTTCGTGCGCTCACTAACAGCACTTGCCCCACCAGTCCGTGGAGACTACATGGGGGACCTGCGTCTTTGCTTGCACGCTAACAGCACTTGCCCCACCAGTCCGTGGAGACTACACGGGGGACCTGCGTCTTTGCTTGCTCGCTAACAGCACTTGCCCCACCAGTCCGTCGAGGCTACACGGGGGACCTGCATCTTTGCTTACTCGCTAACAGCACTTGCCCCACCAGTCCGTCGAGGTTACACGGTGGACCTGCATCTTTGCTTACTCGCTAACAGCACTTGCCCCACCAGTCCGTCGAGACTACACGGGGGACCTGCGTCTTTGCGTGCGCTCGCGAACAGCACTTGCCCCACCAGTCCGTAGAGACTACACGGGGGACCTGCGTCTTTGCGTGCGCTCGCTAACAGCACTTGCCCCACCAGTCCGTAGAGACTACACGGGGGACCTGCGTCTTTGCTTGCGCTCGCTAACAGCACTTGCCCCACCAGTCCGTCGAGGTTACACGGTGGACCTGCGTCTTTGCTTGCTCGCTAACAGCACTTGCCCCACCAGTCCGTCGAGACTACACGGGGGACCTGCGTCTTTGCTTGTGCGCGCGTGTTCAGGACGAGGCGTTTGGGCTGTGGGTCCACCACTGGGCCGCGCTCTACCCGCCCGAGTCGCCCTCCCGCGCCTTCCTGTCGGGGGTCGCCGCCTCCCACCACCTCGTCAACCTCGTCGACAACGAGTTCCCGCTGCACAGCTGCCTCTGGAACCTGCTGGAGGACGTGCTGGCGCTCGCAGAGGCGCGGAAGGACGGGCAGCCGGTGGTCCCGGCGGCGCCGGCGGTGACGCCGATGCGCGCTGTCGACGGCCCCGACCAGTAGCGACGCGCCGGGGACTGAGCGGTGCACCCCGTGTCTCTCCTCGCGTGATGACAACAACAACAACAACAACGGCGACGATGACGATGATAAAGATGATGGTTTGCGCACCGCGCGCTGAGTCGACGTAGCGGATTGCTTGACGTAGACCCTCGGCAAAAAAACTAAAAATTAACCCGTAAAAACAAAGTTTTTCACTCTAAATCCTTTATATGCGTGGTGGCTAGACCGCTAGAGTCACCTATGGGTCAGATGATTGTCTGCCAGCATTAAGAAATTGGTAATTAAATTATTTTTTTTTTTTCCCTAAACAATGTAAAATTTTGGAAAAAAAATTTCACGAAAATTATTTGTCACGCACAACGAGTCTGTGTGGAAAATGTCAGCTCGATTGGATCACGGGAAGTGGGTTAAAAAACGACCGAAATATTTGCACGGTCGTAAGCAAGCAAGCAAGCACGCAAGCACGCAAGCAAGCAAGCAAGCGAACTTAGTATAAAGGATTTAAAAACAGGCTCGCGATCGTGATTTGTTGTTGAACGCGTGAGGAGGCTGTGCAGGCATTAATCAAGACAACTGTCGTCGTGGAGTTTGTGTGTCCAAGTAGTCTTTTATCGTAAGTTTAGCACTAAGTTGTTGGCAATTTGTAGGTTGATCAAGATACTGTGAAATTGTTTTGTTTTTCTTACAGCACTAATTCAACTAAAGAGCAACGCATTTGTACTCCGCTCTCAGCGGTGTGTACGGTGAACTTCTCTCGCACCGCACGTAGCCAACCGCCGCTAATCGGGAAGCGCCGGCCGGAACTCAAACTAAAACGCGAAAAGGCACCTCTAAAGAAGTGAGTTTGTCAGCCTCGACGATGATTTTTTAAAAGTGCCGTAGCTCCCAGTAGCTTCCTGATATCCAGCATGGAAGGAGCGTTCCAGACGGCCCCCGAATCGGCGCATCCGAAAGCGCGGTGATTGCCGCCTTCATTCGATGGCCAGGGCCGAAAGCAGCCGCCGCTGCTGCTGCGAGGGGCGGCGACCGGAGCTCGCGTGCAGACGGGTTCGCTCGCGCTCCTTGACGAGGCTTGCGGGGGGGGGGGGGTGGCGTTGCGGTTTCAACTGTGGCGAGCACTTGGCGTGTGAAATGAGTGGCGACCTCGTAACGTGTTCGGTTTAACACGCGGTAGGATTTTCGCGACCAACATCGCGTAAATATGTAAGTGCGTCGGATTACGGAGAGGATTCGTCGCTTCCCCCCCCCCCCTCCCTCTTCGTTATCACGGTGCGAAAGAAGTTCGGCTACGTACGTACGCGCGTGCGGGCGGCTCTTCATCCCCGCGAACGCGAGGAATGCCTCCCACCCGTGGTGTGCGTGCCCTTGGCGGCGGAATGTAGACGTTAGATTGTTGACGTGGTGCTAAATACGCCTGGACCGCCGGCAACGCTGTCGTTTACTTACAACAACAGCAGCAACAAAAAAATCAAAGATGCATTTTGAACCTTTGATGCAGACCTAGGCAAGGGATTGTAATTTTTTTTTTTATAACCGGGCCTAGTCTTTTTTATCTGCTTGCACGTGCGGTTGATGACTCTCGACGCTCGTGCGTGTTCCGTGTGTTCATATCCCAGTCGCGAGCTCCTCGGACGCCTGCAATGCATATCAGTGTTAAGGGAACGGCTCGCCGAAGTGGACGACACAGAACTACTTCTGAGTTCCCTCGGCGGGGGTGGGGGTTGGGGGGGGAGGCGTTTTTTTTTTGTCTTTCTTCCCCACTGCAGAAGCCGTGCCGTGCCGTGCGACGAATATGATTAACCCCGTCCGTTCCTGGCCCTGCTTGGCCCTGAACCAGATTCGAATGCCTTTTGACGGTAAACTAAGCTACGGACTATTTTTATTTCACCAGGTAAGACCCGCCGAGTTATGTAGTTGTTTTTTTTAGGCGCTTTACCTGGCATTTCACAAATGATAGTTCCTACGAGAAGCGGCTTATCGTTGCGTGGAAATCTATAGCAGCAGCCAAATGCTCTAAACGCGTGACGTTGATTCTGAATGTTGTCTTATTGAGAAGCCAGCAGCTTCTATGCTCAATGGGCTTTACTTGGAAATCAATTTCCGATTCTATAGCACAGTGTCGGCTTTGGCTCCGGCTCGACAAATTGCCGGTGGAAAATCAATCTGTACCGTGCAGGCGCTGGCCTGGTTCTCGCTCAGGTGTGCCAAATGGAAAACCTTCCCGTGCCTTCCGGGCGCTGCCCTGGCTTGGCTCAGGTGTGCCAGTGGAAAACCCATCCATACTGTGTGGGCCCTGCCCTGGCTCAGCTCAGGTGTGCCAGTGGAAAACCATCCCGTACCGTGCGAGCGCTGCCCTGGCTTGGCTCAGGTGTGCCAGTGGAAAACCCTCCCGTACCGTGTGGGCCCTGCTCTAGCTCGGCTCAGGTGTGCCAAATGGAAAACCTTCCCGTGCCTTCCGGGCGCTGCCCTGGCTCGGCTCAGGTGTGCCAGTGGAAAACCCTCCCGTACCGTGCGGGCGATGCCCTGGCTCGGCTCAGGTGTGCCAGTGGAAAAAGGGGAAATTAGTCGCGCGACTTTAATCCTCGGTTGGGCGGTGCTCAAAGCAGAAGGGCTAACAGCCGCCGTTCGCCACTCATGAGAGAGAGGAAGGGAAAGCCATGGAGTCGAGCCATGGGCGGCATCTGGTTTACAGATTCGCCACCCGGCCATGATGACAACGACGGCGATGATGAGGATGACGATCGTTTTTGAAATATGCCGTCGCGTGTATCGGAAAAACATAAACTAATATAATAACACTGACGTGGTAGTTGTGGTTGTTATTGGTGGTGGTGTTGCGTGGTGTGTGTTTTCCTGGGTGCGTGCGCGTTAATAAATGGTGCCCCTTCGCGTGCGAGTCACAGAGCAGCACGGCGGCGACTAGTTTACCATGGAAGTCCAGTTTACCATGGAAGTCCAGTTCACCATGGGAGTCCAGTTCACCATGTGAGTTTAGTTTACCATGGAAGTCCAGATTAGCGTGGAAGTCCAGTTTATCATGGAAGTCCAGTTCAGCATGGGAGTTCAGTTCATCATGGGAGTTCAGTTCACCATGAAAGTCCAGTTTACCATGAACAGGGGTCAGCAACCTGGCACTTTAAGGGCTGTTTCGTCACGTTATTTATCAAGCACCCACCGTGTCTCGTATTCCACCACAATGCACCATTGGCGGCTCTTGAAATATTGAAGGTTTTTCTTTTTTACCGAATTCGAAAAAAAACTGCGTTTTAATCTTGTGTTATTTTGGTTTCTGACCCCTGGCCGAGCTGGACCGACTGATAGGCGGGGAATCCCTACGTGGTGACATGCTTGTCAACTTGAACTCCCACCACGGCCAAAGCCGGAGGAGCCCATACTCTGGGATTCTCTTCGTGGAAACAGCTACCAGCAACCAGTGCCGGATGAAGGGAGTGCGGGGCTTGTAGCATATGTTATAAAAGTGTCCTAAATAAATAAAAAACACGTTAATATTAAAACACATACATTTTTTACTCGCATAGTAAAGTAATCGTATGATACAGGTAGGAACAATGTTCCACACTGCCTACCAGGGATTAATTGTCTGTCTGTCTGACTGTCTGTCGTGCATAAATAAATATATAATGCACACAGCTCTTTGATTGGTGGAGACCTACTGCCGGGTACGGAGAGGGGAGGTGCCTAAGGGAGGAAGATCAGGGGAGGGGCCTAAGGAAGGGGGGAGTCATGAAAGGGGCCTGAGGGGGAGGGGGGGGGTTCAGAGGAGGGGCCTAAGGATATGGGGGTTGGTCAGGGGAGGGGCCTAAGGGAGGGGGTAATGGGAAGGGCCTAAACAAGGGGAGGGGGCTGGGTGGGTCACCCCGTGGTGCCCTTATAAAACTCAACGTTTAACCTACACACTACACTATACACGACACGATACACTACACTTATACAGGTAGTAACAGCTTCCACACTGCCCACCAGGTATGAGTTGTATGGCTGTCGTACACGAATGCACTGTCCTACCTGCCCACTCCGAAGGAACGTGTTTTAATTTGCTATTCAGCCAGATACTACGACAAATCGCTAACCTCAAACACCCAGTCGTTCCGATTTAAAGCTTTCGTGACTGCAGGGATTCATCTTCTTGGTTTTTTCGGTAAAGTCACGTAGAAGGGAAATAATCAAATAATAATTTTTACATTACTTTATTATTATGTTTTATTTTTACATAATGAAAATAAAACATTTTTTTATTATGTTTTATTTTTATTATTTTATTATTTCCTTTCTACGTGACTTTACCGAAAAAACCAAGAAGATGAACCCAGTCGTTCGTAAAAGTTGAAGGCGGTATAGTACTATAGTAATAGAGCAAGTGCAGAATCACTGCGCCGGAATTGATAGCTTGAAAGCATTTAGCGCGGGGCCCTTGAAAGTGCGGGGCCCGTAGCATATGTAGGTATACTATTTGGTTCTTTTGGTAAAGCACGTAGGTAGAAATACAATCAAATAAATCACGAACGTTTCGAACGCAACACAAGCGCCCGTCTTTAGGTGAAAATCGCGACATCTGCGATGTCTGCTGCGAGCAGCACGAAGTCTGCTCCCTTGTGTAGCTACTTTTGCTCCGAGGGTAATCCAGCACTGGCAGCAACAACAATAAATTCAGGAGCTACATGCCAATGTCAAGATCTGCTCCTGCCGCTGGCTACGACGATAGGGCTTCAGCAGAGAGAGCGAGAGAGTGTCGTTTTCACGTTCCTCTTCCTCTGTTGACAGAGTGCAAAACAGCAGTGTGTTTACTGTACGATCCATAGTTTCAGTTCCATAACCACAATTCGACGAGTGCGGCTTGTCTAATGTAGCTCTTCTTCTTGGTTCTTTCGGTAAAGTCACGTAGAAGGGAAGTAATAAAATAATAAAAATAAAACGTAAAAAAATAATTCTCACGACGTTTCGGCCACAACGCAAGCAGCCGTCCTCGGGTGAAAACCAGGTCTGTCGAGGCGACAGCAGTCTGAATGAAACAGCACACGTGCTTGGAGCATATATAAGCTGAGTTGGAAGGGGGGAAAAGGGCGCCTTTATTTTTATTATTTTATTACTTCCCTTCTACGTGACTTTACCGAAAGAACCAAGAAGATGAATCCCTGCAGTCACGAAAGCTTTAAATCAAATTTAATGTAGCTCTATGGGTGTCTACGTATCTCTTTGTGTCTCTGGGTTTACTGTAGGTCAAGAGTTTGGGGTTCATGGCTACAAACACACTCCTGTTGCTTGTCTGTAATGCATCTCTGTGGGTCTCTATGTTTCTCTCTGTGTGTCTGTGGGCTTCGTGGCCACATCTGCACCACTGTGGCTTGCCTTGAATGTATCTCTATGGGTCTCTATGTATCTCTCTGTGTGTGTGTAGATTTCGTGGCCACAATTACACCACTCTTGTATTTTTCATTTAAACTAAACATTTATTTTTATTTGACCAAATTAACGCCACTGAGCTATTAGCTTTTTTTCAGAAGCGATCTGGCCACAAATGATAGCTCAACGAAGTGGTTGAACATGTGGACATTTATAGCAGCCATATAATGTAAATCCATGTTGGTTGGTTTTACGTGTGGAGGGAAAAACCGGAAGACCCGGAGAAAAATTCCACGCAACCACGGGGAGAGAGAACATGCACACCCCAATAATAAAACTAAAAACTAAACTTTTTATTTATTTTAACAGGTGTAGAGAATCTTCTTGGTTCTGTCGGTAAAGTCACGTAGAATGGAAATAATAAAATAAAACAATAAAATCATTCTCACGACGTTTCGGCCACAACGCAAGCAGCCGTCCTCAGGTGAAGACCAGGTCTGTCGGGGAGATAGTGTCTAAAACATTCAGACGCTGTCACCCCGACAGACTCCTCGACAGACCTGGTCTTCACCTGAGGACGGCTGCTTGCGTTGTGGCCGAAACGTCGTGAGAATTATTTGATTGTTTTATTTTATTATTTTATTATTTCCCTTCTACGTGACTTTACCGAAAAAACCAAGAAGATGAATCCCTGCAGTCACGAAAGCTTTAAATCGAGGTGTAGAGAAGCTCCCACGGACGTACTCGTAGACGGAGGTAAGTTAAGGGCTTTCGCCAGGGTTTATTAAAGCTGTTACAATATTACACAGCAGGGTACACAACTCCCAGGGGCTAGGGGTCCTACTCTGAGTCCGGGTCCCTGCCGGCTAGCTCCGGTCTCTCTCTCTCTCGTGTCGGACCGGGGACTCTGCCGACTCCACCGAGCGGAGAGAGAAGCACCTCTACGGCTACCACCACCGGCTTCTCCCCAGACTCACTCTTCTCGCGACTCCACCGACACACACACAGACAAAGACACACACACACAGACACACACACACAGACACACACACACAGACAAAGACACACACACACAGACAAAGACAAAGATCCCCGGTATAGCCTGAACAGACTGTAGGGGCAAGTGCTGTTAGCGAGCACCTATGAAGGCCGGAACGGTACACGAGGGGGTGGGTGGCCAGCACCACGCCCGACCGCCTTTGTCTCCCCAGTGGCGATGTTTACACACCACACCAGGTACTCATTTAAGGCTGAGTCGACCTAGGGGAGGCCCAGGACCGGTTCAGATAATCGTCATTGGTGTTAGCCGTGAGACACACACAGACACACACACAGACACACACACACACAGACACGCACCTCTACGGCTACCACCGGCTTCTCCCCAGACTCACCACTCGATCCCTCTCTCTACCCACTGGTTCCCTCTTCACCCTTCTTACTCTACCCGTTCCCGCAGTGACCCCGCTTACGTCACGGGGTCTCCCTTAAGTACCCCAGGAGACGTGACGTCATCGCACTGAACGGCACACCTGACGTCACGTCCCCATTTTACTCCTCTACACAGGTAAAGCCCACTGAGCTATACAAAGCTCTGTTTCAGAAGCGACCTGGCCACAAATGAAAGCTCAACGAAGAGGCTCATCACGTGGAAATGTAGAGCAGCCAAACACTCTAAACGCGCGTTTCTAAATGTGGAGGGGAAAACCGGAGGACCTGGAGAAAACCCACGCGACCACGGGGAGAACATGCGCACTTCAACTATACAGCAGGCGTCAGGGTCGGAATTGAACCCACGACCTCCTATATACCAGGCGAGGTAGTTAACATATCCTAGCCACCGTGATGATGATGAGAGAGAGACACGCAAACTCCAAATATACAGCAGCAGGCGTCAGGGTCGGGATTGAACCCACGACCTCTTGCATACCAGGCGTGTAGTAGCTACTACACGTGTAGTAGCTACTACATGTGTGTAGTAGTAGCTACTACATGTGTAGCTGCTACTACATCTGTAGCTGTAGTAGCTACAGATGTACTACATATGCAGATACTACATCTGTAGCTACTACACATGTAGCTACTACTACTACATATGTAGTAGCTACTACTACTACATATGTAGTGATTCTGCACTTGCTCTATTACTATAGTACTATGCCGCCTTCAACTTTTACGAACGACTGGGTGTTTAAGATGAGCGATTTTTCTATTATCCGGCTGTATAGCAACTGAAAAAATACAATTACTTAGCTATGCAAGTAAAAAATTGATGTTTTAAAATTTACGTGTTTTTATTTTATTTTATTTAGGGCCCCTTTATAATATGTGCTACAGGCCCCAAACTCGCTTCGTCCGGCACTGCCCCTACCCCCTGTCTTGGGATCTATCTGCACAATGAGCCCCCAGCGCCTTAGAATTAGAGGTCGCAAACGGG